TCAATGCTGGAAGTACTATAAGACTATCCTCACTTCAGTACATATTTCCAACATCATTATTTTCGTTAACTTATACAACATTTGAACTCTTCAACGAAAACGATGTTGATATGATGGTTGACGCTCAAAATCAAAATTCAGACGCTATTACACAAATGTATGCCACATCTGTTGAAGTATATGTGATTCATTGTATGTCATTATGCTCCCACTATGGGCTGACTCAACAAGCTGATCAAGTTGACAACCCAACTCAAGTAATGTGTAATGATTTTGACAAGTTAATGGGAAATCTACATCCTGATACTATCCCATCAAGTTCAATGGGGAGATATTCATCAGCAACTTTTTACGATCTCTACTGATGTGGCCCCATGAACAATCTGTATAGCAACAACATCACTTTTAGTTCAAGGGGAAGATATTTATCTGCCAATTTCTTTAACCTGAATATGGATATACCCTCGACGTAGCAATCTGTTCAGTACCCATTTGACACAATACCTTCAAGTTCCAGGGGAGACATTCAATTGCAAGCTTCTTCGACCTCAATGTGAAGATATCTACGACACAACGCTTAATTCAAAACCCGTTTGACAAGATGCCTTCAAATTCAAGGGGAAGACATTCAACTGTCAGCTTGTTCGACCTAAATATCGACATCACAGAGGAATCCTCATCTCCACCAGAAGAACAACAATTCAACATGGACTCCGATGATGATGATGTAGATGAAGTTCCCATAAATACTATACACACTGAACCTCCAACATACATGTATGAAGGTAACTATGATGCAATGTACGGGCCAAAATTTACGGATATGCCTAATATTGGTGAGATTGGTGAGTACATATTTAACTCATTAGTCAATGATAGTGAGCTATATAAAGGAATGAAGTTTTCATCCAAAGAAGAAGTGATGATTGGAATTAAGAATTACAACATTCATAATTATGTTCACTCCAAAGTTGACCGATCAACCAACGAAAAATATGTTTGCCAATGTGTCAAACGTGATAACGGATGGAACTAGATGGTTCATGTATCGAAAAGGAAGAGAAAAAACAACATATAAGATCAAACAATATACAATGATCCTCATACATGTTGTGCTAGAGGGATCAACTAGGACTATCCCAACTTGGACTCCGACATTATTTGCCAAGACACCATGCTCATGGTCAAAGCAAGCTCTCATATAGCTATTGCGGTGCTGATTTCAGTTATACAGTCTCAATATAGGTACACCGTCTCCTACAGGAAAACATAGAAGGCAAAGTAGAATTTCATTAAAAAAACTTCACGACGAGTGAGATTTATCTGACAACGAACTACCAAGTTGGTTTAACGTAGTGTACAGACTGAATCCTGAGACAATAGTCGACTTCAAAACTTTTCATGTATACCACAATGATCAAGTGTTTCACGATCGATGCCAATTCTACCGACTTTTTTAGACGTACCCACAATACATTAATGTTGTGAAGTACTGCAAGCCAGTGGTTCAAATTAATGAGACTTTCTTGTATGGAAAATACAAGCAAGTTTTACTATTGACAGTTGTCTAAGATGGTAATCACAACATTCTTACAATTATTTTTGCCCTTGTTAAAGGTGAAAATATAGATTCTTGGGCTTTTTTCTCAGAAACTTATGCTTATATGTTGTCACGAGGGAAAAAATCTACATCATTTCAGACTGTGGAGATAAGATCAAAGCAGTGATTGACTATTTGGTTCCAATGTGGAAACCTCCCGATGTTCAACATCAGTATTGTATCCAACATATTGTCGCAAACTATCATGAAAAATTTAAAAAGAATTATGAACGCCAATTACTTGTATGCATTGATATGTCGCGATGCCTAACTTCATTTATCAATCATTTTTTTTGTATGTGAACTTAACAGTAAGTATTACATTTGATGCGCAAGCTATGAACTTGTTGAGTTAATCGATCTACGGAATCGGCCAAGAGGGGGGTGAATTGGCAATTAAAAATTTCGTGGAAGCTTTTGCAGAAAATTTAAAGTAATTGCACAGCGATTTACAGTGGTTCGACTTTCTCAAACAAAGTCTACGTCCACTACCTTAGCTATCCACACTAAGGATTTTCCAACAAATTCACTAATTTGTTCTTTCTTTTGAGGCCAAAGAGATAACCTTACAAAATCCCTCAAGAGTATACCCCAACTCTTGAGAACACTCTTTTTCCCAAAGAGAAGATTACAAATTTGCAAACTTACAAGAAAACCTCACAAGGTAAGATGTTTGCACAATTCTAGAACAAAGAAAAGAACACTCAAGGATAAATACAATTGAGTACAAAAGTGTTCTTGAAAGCAAATGAATATTGGATGAAAAATAGGCTTGAAATACTCAAACTTGAGGTTTGATGCTTTCTCTTTGATTCTCTCTTGATTCTAGTTGATTGATGTTTCTTGTTATTGATCAATGGCTCCAGAACTTGTTTAAATACCCCTTGAATCAATTCTGAACGTTGGTGATAATTAGTGGGGATAATAGAGCCGTTTAAGTGTGAAAACAATTAATTTTTCTAGGTGGAGCGTCTCATGCATCGGAGCGTCTCATGCATCGATGCATGATCAAGTATGCATCGGTGCATACGTGTAAAATTCAAATATTTTGACCGTTGGAACACTTGATGCATCGGTGCACCAAGTGTGCATCGATGCATGAAATGCATTCGATGTTTGAAAATAGCCTGAGTGCATCGATGCATGGCTTGTGCATCGATGCATAAAATGCATTCGATGTTTTGAAAATATTCAGAGTGCATCGATGCATGGAGAATGCATCGGTGCATGGAATGCATTCGATGTTTCAATTAATTCACTAATGCATCGATGCATGGTTGATGCATCGGTGCATCAACTCAAATAATTGAATTTAGGCTTTGATTTTGGTTCAAAATACTTTGTGAAAATTGTTTTAAAAATAGTTTAAGTACAAATCACAATTTTACACATTTAGTAAGGTTTAAAATTGATCTTGAAAAACTTGGAGTAATAATTTGATATTCGGTTAATTGAATCGAATATAAAATTGTAAAATCATTTGTAAAATCTTAAAATTCATTTAACTTAATTTGTTATATCGAAATATCAAAAATGTTTTCAACAATCTCCCCCTTTTTGATATAACAAAACATTTGAGTAATTTTAAGATTTGTTTAAGAAATTATTTTTGAAATCGATTTTGAGAAACTTACTCCCCCTTACTATAGCACATCTTAAATTTTCTCCCCCTTTTTGTTAAATCAAAAAGACTCTATAAAAACGTTTTAAACAAGAATTTTGAAAAACATAGCCAATTGATATATATATATATATATATATATATATATATATATTAGGCTGCTAAGATCACAATCAAAAGAGATATTAGCCATTAGTTTCATAATCAATATTCATAAACATAAATGGATAATTGGTCATAATGCAACTAATATGATGATGCAAAAATTAATAAATATTAAGCTCAAAATGAAAATTCAAACAAACTATCCATAAAACATCCAAATCTTATATCCAAATGAAGTCAAGCAAGTCAAACAATAACCCCCAAAATATTCAAAATGGTTTAACAATAAACGTTCAAGACGATCCAAAACCACAACAAGATCTATTCGTCTATAGAAGGATCGGGAGGAGGCGGAGGAAAACGGGATTTGGCGGTTGGTTTGAATGAGAACGACTAGACGAAGTTCTAGGACGTTTGGGATTAGACATGATTAAAGTAAATCGGAATAAGGAATATCACCTGCAATTTGAAACACATGTATACACAATCAATTCCCAAAACTCAAATGAGTCCTCAATAATTCAAGGTTCTCTAAACCATATCCTAATGGGCATGTTTTGAAAACTATTAAAAAAATAATATTTGATAATCATAATATAGTTTTCATGAAAACAAAACAATTAAATCAAAAATCTTACTAATTTTCGTTTTTTTTAAGTTTCGAAATTCAAAGAAATTTTTTTGAAAAATTGTTTGTTTTTGACGAAATTGGTAGTAAAATCTAGTTTAGAACCAACAAACAATAAATGCCCGATATAATGTACATTCTAGAACTAATTAAAACTAGTTCTAAAATCATAAATTTGTAAAATAGAGGTTTTTAGAAAAATACCTTGAAAATTCGGATTGAGAGGGATGAGGAGTTGTTTTGCACGATTTAATGATTGAAGCAGGTTTGAGAGTTGAAAAGCTTGAAGATTCCGACGAAAAATCGTTGATTTTGAGCAAGAATGGAGATTAAGAGAGAGAGAGGGACGAACGGCTAGAGGAAGAGTTTTTAGGTTTTGAGATAAAATAGAAAAATAAGCCTTTAAAATCCCAAAACCCGACGGATGCATCGATACACATTCAAAGGGATGCATCGATGCATTGTTAAATGCATCGGTGCATAAAGCACAAAAATGTCAAAAATCCGTTTTAAACACTTAAAAAATGCTAAATAATTTGGCTCTAATGGTATTGGCAACTCATATATCACAAATTAATTATGTTCAATCAATCAAATTAATCTTCAAACTTTATTTGAACATAAAATTAATTTTAACAGAGAATCACTAACTCCCCCTAACTAATAGCAAGAATGCAATCAAAAATTATTATTATAAGCATTTTCAATATTATTTAAAAGTGCTAAAATATTTTAAACACTAAGTGAAGATAGGTCAGTTAAACCTAATTCTCTTCTAAGTGTCCAAAATATTTCTTTATCTAAGGGTTTTGTAAAAATATCCGCTAATTGGTGTAAAGTATCAACAAATTCTAGAACTACATCTTCCTTAGTGACATGGTCCCTAATGAAGTGATGTCTTATTTCAATATGCTTAGTTCTAGAGTGTTGGATGGGATTTTTAGTGAGACAAATAGCACTAGTATTGTCACACTTGATAGGAATGGTACCTACTTCAATTCCATAATCAAAAAGTTGTTGTTTCATCCATAAAACTTGTGCACAACAACTACCGGCTGAAATGTATTCCGCTTCAGTGGTAGATAATGCAACACAATTTTGTTTCTTTGAAAACCAAGAAATCAACATATTTCCAAGGAATTGACAAGTACCGGAGGTGCTTTTCCTATCTAATTTGCATCTCCCATAATCCGCATCAGAAAAGGCATGCAAGCTAAAGCTAGAGTCTCTAGGATACCAAAGTCCTAAACTAGGAGTGTCCTTAAGGTATCTAAAGATTCTCTTAACAGCTAGTAAATGTGATTCCTTAGGACATGATTGAAATCTAGCACATAAGCAAACACTAAACATAATGTCCGGTCTACTTGCAGTTAGATAAAGCAAAGAGCCAATCATTGACCTATATAATTTAACATCTACACATTTACCTCCTTCATCTAAGTCAAGCTTTGTTGAAGAGCTCATTGGAGTGTTATGAGGTTTCCCATTTTCCAGTCCAAACTTCTTGAGCATATCTTTGACGTACTTAGCTTGATTAATGAAGATGCCATCTTTTCTTTGCTTGATTTGGAGTCCCAAGAAAAATGAGAGCTCCCCCATCATGCTTATCTCAAACTCACTTTGCATTAGCTTAGAAAATTCTTGGCAAAGAACATCATTAGTAGAGCCAAATATTATATCATCAACATAAATTTGAACTACTAATAAATCTTTACCTTTATGTTTTAAAAACAATGTAGTGTCAACCTTTCCTTTTGAAAAACCTTTTTCAATTAAAAAATTTGACAATCTTTCATACCAAGCTCTAGGAGCTTGTTTTAAACCATAAAGAGCTTTTGTCAATTTAAGAACGTGATCTGGAAATTTTAAATCTTCAAAACCTGGAGGTTGTTCCACATACACTTCTTCTTTTATAAAACCATTTAAAAATGCACTTTTAACATCCATTTGATATAATTTAAATTCATGAAAACATGCAAATGCTAATAACATTATAATTGCTTCCATCCTAGCTACGGGAGCGTATGTTTCATCATAGTCTATGCCTTCTTCTTAAGTATAGCCTTGAGCAACAAGTCTAGCCTTGTTCCTCACTATATTACCACTTTCATCAAGTTTATTTCTAAAAACCCATCTAGTACCTACAGTAGATTTATTACTAGGCCTTTCAACTAATGTCCATACTTTACTTCTCTTAAATTGATTTAATTCTTCTTGCATAGCCATAATCCAATGTTCATCTTTTAATGCTTATTTGGTGTTCTTAGGCTCTATGCATGAAATAAATGCAACATAATTACAGATATTTCTAAGAGAAGATCGAGTAGTTACCCCTTTTGATGGATCACCTATAATTTCACCATCCTTGACATAGTTGTACTCTCTTGGAAAAGATACTTCCCTTTCTTCAATGGTTGGATTCTCGAGGGGATCATGAGTTTCCTCATCTTTTGTTTCTTCCTTTGATGATGATTCTCTAACGTCATGTCTAACGTCATTTGCTTGTACAATACCTACATCATCATTAACAGAAGAATCCTTCCTTGGAAGGGGATTATCATCGAAAACAACATGTATAGACTCTTCTACAACTAAAGTTCTTTTATTAAATACACGATAAGCTTTAGAATTTAAGGAATAACCCAGAAAAATTCCTTCATCACTTTTAGCATCAAATTTGCCAAGATTTTCTTGACCGTTGTTTAAAACAAAACATTTACATCCAAAAGGATGAAAATAACTAATGTTAGGCTTTTTATTTTTGAGAATTTCATATAGAGTTTTCTTTAAAATTGGCCTAATCATTACTCGATTTACAACATAACAAGCGGTATTTGTGGCTTTCGCCCAAAAATATTTTGGCAAATTATTTTCACAAAGCATGGTTCTAGCCATTTCTTCTAAAGTTTGATTTTTCCTCTCAACAACTCCATTTTGTTGAGGGGTTCTAGGTGCTGAAAAATTATGGCTAATACCATTAGAATTACAAAACTCAATAAATCCAAGATTTTCAAATTCAGTTCCATGATCACTTCTAACACTAGTGATAGAGTAACCTTTTTCATTTTGGATTATTTTTGAAAATGTGATGAAATTTTCTAATGCTTTATCTTTAGTACTTAAGAATAGAACCCAAGTGTATCTAGAATAGTCATCTACCAAGACAAATGCATATTGTTTTCCTCCCAAGCTAGTAGTTCTAGTTGGCCCAAAAAGATCTAAATGAATCAATTGTAATACTCTACTAGTTGATACATCATTAATAGATTTAAAAGAAACTCGTTTTTGTTTTCCTTTAGCACAAGCATCACAGATTTTATCATTATCAAATTTAAGCTTAGGCAACCCTCTTACTAAGTCTCCTTGAATTAACCGTTACAAAACACTCATACTAGCATGACCTAGTCTCCTATGCCATAACCAACTATCATGCTCATCCTTAGCAACTAGGCATAAATTAGTCATATCAATAGAATCTAAATGCACCATGTAAATGTTTCCTATTCTATGACCAACAAGCATAATCCGATTAGATGCAATGTCAATGACTTTACAACCATTAATTTCAAATAAGATATTGAATCTTTTATCGCATAATTGACTAATACTCAATAGATTATGCTTTAATCCATTCACATATAAAACATTCTTAATTTGTATGGAAGAGGTATTACCTATTGTACCAATACCTTCAATGTGACCTTTTGAATTGTCTCCAAAAGTCACTTCTCCTCCATTTTTGGCGTTAAGCTCAATGAACCGGCTTTTGTCTCCGGTCATATGTCTTGAGCATCCACTATCAAGGTACCATGAGTTTGAATTTGTTTCCCGTGCCTTGTAGCAATGCTCCTTTCCCTACAAACATAGATTAATTTTTGATTTTTGGTACCCAAATTCTTTTGGGTCCATATTCATTAGTTTCCAAAATCCTAGTCCCCTTAGGTATCCATTTGTGTAGGATATTTTTATCTTTAGTAGTAATGAGTTCTTTAGGAACCCACATACTTCTAATGATTTTTCCATTAGAGGTTCTTTGGGAACCTCTATGATTGTAGTTTCTAAAACTTTTTCTAACAAAGTTGGATTTTGAATTTCCACCTTTTTCAAAATGTTTTATTCCAACTTTATCAAAAGAAGTTTTAAGATCATCAATTTTCTTTTGATGATCATCATTGATCTTTGAAAGTAAATTTTGCAAATCTAAATTTTTCTTTTCAAACTCTTCTAGTTTGATTTGCAAGTCTTTGATTTTACTTTCAAGATCGCTGTTGGTTTTGGATATGAGTTTGTTTTCATTTTTCAATTTTGAAACATCATTTTTATATTTTAAAAACAATTTCTCATAATCCGAAGCCAACCCATTGTACTCCTCAAATAACTCATCATAAGATAAATCATCAAAAACGGATAAGTTAGAGGTTACCTTAGAATCTTCCCCGAATGCCATCAAGCACAAGTTTGCTACTTCTTGTTCCTCTTCATCGAAACCTTCTTCATCGCTCCATGTAGCCACATGAGCCTTGTGCTTATTCTTTGATTGACCCTTTTTCTTCAATTGCGGGCAATCATATTTGACATGCCCCGGCTTTTTGCATTCATAGCAAATGATTGGGTCCTTCTCTTTTGGTTCATTTTTGAGGCCTTCGTTTCGTTTGAATTTTCTTCCTTGGTAAGGTCTCATCATTTTTCTGAACCGTTTGGCAAACAATGCCATTTCCTCGTCATCATCATCATTATTAGAATCACTCTCATCTTTTGTGGATTTGAGAGCAACTCCAATATTTTTCTTCTTCTCCTTTTCCTTTGGTGTCTCTTCAACTTTATCAAGGTCCACCTCATCTTCGAGCATCATCTCATGAGTGAGGAGTGAACCGATAAGTTCTTCAAGAGTTAAGGACGATAGGTCCTTAGACTCGATGATTGCCGTCTTCTTTGATTGCCATGATTTTGGGAGGGAGTAGACTAACTTCCTCACAACCTTTTCATTTGAGATGATCTCTCCATATGATTTGAGACCATTTACAATCGTTGAAAATCTATCCGTCATAGCTTTGATGTCTTCATTTGGTTTCATCCTGAAATTTTCATAGCTATGCGTTAGAATACTAATTTTTGATTTATTTACCTTGTATGTACCTTCATGTGTGACTTGAAGCTTGTCCCATATTTCTTTGGCGGTTGTACACGATGAAACTCTTCCGTATTCATCTGGTCCAAGAGCACAAAAAATAATATGGATGGCTTTGGAGTTGAGCTGGAACATTCTTGTCTCTCCTTCACTCCACAACCTTGGATGAGTGATAGGCTTGATGTATCCTTCTTCTACGGCATTCCATGCTCCCATGTCACTTACTTGAATGAAGTACATCATTCTATTCTTCCAATAGGCGTAATTAGCTCCATTGAAGAAAGGAGGCTTGTTGACGGGCATCGAATCAAGGCCGGAGTCGTAATTTGAAGTGGAGGCCATTGATGACTTGGTAATCGATGTAACTCTTCCCGAATCGACTCAAGAGGCGATTAAACCTTCAAATGAGTGAGGCTCTGATACCAATTGTTGAGTTAATCGATCTACGGAATCGGCCAAGAGGGGGGTGAATTGGCAATTAAAAATTTCGTGGAAGCTTTTGCAGAAAATTTAAAGTAATTGCACAGCGATTTACAGTGGTTCAACTTTCTCAAACAAAGTCTACGTCCACTACCTTAGCTATCCACACTAAAGATTTTCCAACAAATTCACTAATTTATTCTTTCTTTTGAGGCCAAAGAGATAACCTTACAAAATCCCTCAAGAATATACCCCAACTATTGAGAACACTCTTTTTCCCAAAGAGAAGATTACAAATTTGCAAACTTACAAGAAAACCTCACAAGGTAAGATGTTTGCACAATTCTAGAACAAAGAAAAGAACACTCAAGGATAAATACAATTGAGTACAAAAGTGTTCTTGAAAGCAAATGAATATTGGATGAAAAATAGGCTTGAAATACTCAAACTTGAGGTTTGATGCTTTCTCTTTGATTCTCTATTGATTCTAGTTGATTGATGTTTCTTGTTATTGATCAATGGCTCCAGAACTTGTTTAAATACCCCTTGAATCAATTCTGAACGTTGGTGATAATTAGTGGGGATAATGGAGCCGTTTAAGTGTGAAAACAATTAATTTTTCTAGGTGGAGCGTCTCATGCATCGATGCATGATCAAGTATGCATCGGTGCATACGTGTAAAATTCAAATATTTTGACCGTTGGAACACTTGATGCATCGGTGCACCAAGTGTGCATCGATGCATGAAATGCATTCGATGTTTGAAAATAGCCTGAGTGCATCGATGCATGGCTTGTGCATCGATGCATCAAATGCATTCGATGTTTTGAAAATATTCAGAGTGCATCGATGCATGGAGAATGCATCGGTGCATGGAATGCATTCGATGTTTCAATTAATTCACTAATGCATCGATGCATGGTTGATGCATCGGTGCATCACCTCAAATAATTGAATTTAGGCTTTGATTTTGGTTCAAAATACTTTGTGAAAATTGTTTTAAAAATAGTTTAAGTACAAATCACAATTTTACACATTTAGTAAGGTTTAAAATTGATCTTGAAAAACTTGGAGTAATAATTTGATATTCAGTTAATTGAATCGAATATAAAATTGTAAAATCATTTGTAAAATCTTAAAATTCATTTAACTTAATTTGTTATATCGAAATATCAAAATGTTTTCAACAGAACTATTCCCTCAAATGTTTAAGTCTATGCTTCAAGATTTGCGAGGAAAAACTGAAGAGATACAATTATATCAGCATCATCAACAAAGAAATGTGGACAAATACAAACGATGGAGAGTATCGATATGAACATATGACGACCAACTTGGATGAGGTAATCAATTCAACCTTAAAGGGGTGCACTATTTACCAGTAACAACTTTGGTCAAAATGATATATTTTCGTTTGAGGGCATTTTTGCCAAGCTCTGGGGACAAGCTCTAACTTGGATGCAAAATGACCATGTTTATCACCTAATATTAGTTTCAGATCTACAAAAAAGAATCGATGCATCAAATGGAATATCTGTAACAAGTGTTTCTTAGACCATTGAATTATTTCGTGTCACAGAAATGCCACGACATCTTCAAGGGATTGAAGCTAGGTCGTTCAGAGTTAATCTACAAGATATGTGGTGTGACTGTAGATTTTTTCAAGCTCTGAAGTATACATGCTCCCATGTCATAGCAGCTTGCTCTTATACCTGTCAAGACTATAACTATTTTGTGGATCCCATATACCGACTTTCAACTGTATTTAAGGTATATGAATTTGAATTTCCCCCGATAGACAGTGAGAAATACCTAGATGAGCTTCAGAATTGACTTCCAATTGTATCAGATTTGTCCTTATTAAGGGAGTCAGGTCGGCCAAAATCCACTCGATTGTGATATAGATCTTCAAGAGACATCTAAAGAAAACAAAAGATGTCGGCATTGTAGAAACCTAAGCCACTATAGGAAAAAAATTCATCTATTTTAACATAACGTAACTGTTGAGTATCATGATGTAATTGTGGTTTTTGAAACATCAATTTCTGTTATTTCATTTTCGTTTACTTGCTGAAAATGTCATTTGAGCATTAAAGTAAAATATTACAAACTAAATAAAAAAATTAAATACAAATATTAAATACAAATGTTACAACTCAAACAATTAAATAATAAAAACATTAAGAAATAACTTAAATAAAAAGTCCATAATCATTACGTTTGCTGAT